GCCTCGGCATACGGAGACGATTGCATAGTCGGGTATGGGAGTGTGATGATAGCGGAATGCGACGGCTACTACTACGATGACGATGACGACCCTTACGTGCTCCGCTTGGGTCTTACGCAATCATACGCACATGGGCGTGGCTAGTAAGCAGCTGATGTGTTTGTTGGGTGTTAGCACCAAAGGAATTGACCTCGACCACAGAGGACGGAGTTGACCTCTACGCCCTGAAAATGCCCGTAAAGGAGCGAAATCGTTCCACAGGTGACACAGACGGCTGAGAAGGCATTAGACATGCTAGAAGGCTTATCTGGACCGGATGAACCACAATGGAAGAATAAACAAATAATTTTTGGCAAAGACTTCTCCCCCTCACATTCTTCTCATTCACTCCCAAATACGATACATTACTGCTATTTTTTACACACAGTTATCCACACAATTATTCAACGGAAACTTTAGCTCCCACTTCTTCTCCTCTTCTCCCTAGTGTTAATCCCGCGCAGTCGCAAGGTCTGTTGTTTTGTTAGGTCGCCACTTCCTCCCATCTGCGGTATCTTCGCCGGTATTTTGGTTTCGAAGAGGTCCTTCTTGATCATAACTTAAATCGAAAATAAAAACAAGATGAATGAAGGGATCATCCTCCTTCCCTTGAATATCCCTCCAGGTGGAATAGAAGGACAGGGTAGTCGCAGTGGTTGGTTGAAAGTTCGATCCCTGCCGAAGAAAACTGTATTTTTTTCAAGCAGCAAGCGTTTTAACACTGTCAGCGCCTGTCCGGGATCGAAGGACCAGGTGGTGGAGGAAACTGCCACAACACCATGATGATAAAGGCACGGCGATTGGGACAGTTGGTAAGGAATGGCAGACAGGGGCATTATTTCCCCACGGTTTTCACGTATTTGAGACTTTCTCAGAGCTCGGTTACTCTAATCTTCTCCATTCATAACCTCTTCTAAGACCTGTTCACCGGAATTTCACCTCCATCTAACCGATAAACAAAAATGGCCCTTATGCCCTCGGAATGGCCATATCAACAAGTTGGTGGCCCCTGATGCGCTCTGATGATCCTATTGATGAACTGCGTAAGAGGTCAGTCGATTGGTGTATGAGGTCGCCATGGCGGAACGATTCGACAAAGTGACGTACGACCCACTCCATCAAATCGTCGCCATTAGAGATTGTTGAGGTCAGAAGCGAGCATCTAGATGGACACATCTCATAGTCAACTAGACGACCTGCTTAGGTGATGTCTGCTAACGGCAACACTCTTCACATCGCATTACCATCACCACTACCGGCATCTATGATGATGGCACTAAGAAGAAGATGTCAGAAAGTGAGATAAACCCAAATCGATCCATCGGGAACCAATCGATGTGTGGTTGTTTTGTAATTAGCTAAAGACTACCTTACACACTATTATTCAGAACTATTTATTGAAGTATAAGGCTTTCTGCATTGGTCAATCCCATTTTGAGATGCGCCAGCGCANGCTGCTGTTGATTCATAAATTGAAAAGCGAATTCAGGAGGTGGAAAAACACCGTTCAAATACGGCTGAAACATCTGAGCCAATAGGGCAGGCGGATACATTGATGATGTGGGTAGTTGACGTTGAATACCCATACCGGGAAGGGTTAATGATCGGGATTGGGGTTGAGCTTGGTGACTGGTAGATGGTGTAGCCGGAGTTCGTTGAATATTAGGCTTCGCCTCGGCATACGGAGACGATTGCATAGTCGGGTATTGGAGTGTGATGATAGCGGAATGCGACCGCTACTACTACGATGACGATGACGACCCTTACGTGCTCCGCTTGGGTCTTACGCAATCATACGCACATGGGCGTGGCTAGTAAGCAGCTGATGTGTTTGTTGGGTGTTAGCACCAAAGGAATTGACCTCGACCACAGAGGACGGAGTTGACCTCTACGCCCTGAAAATGCCCGTAAAGGAGCGAAATCGTTCCACAGGTGACACAGACGGCTGAGAAGGCATTAGACATGCTAGAAGGCTTATCTGGACCGGATGAACCACAATGGAACATCTCAAACTGAATAAAGAAATAATTTTTGGCAAAGACTTCTCTCCCTCATATTCTTCTCATTCACTCCCAAATACGATACATTACTGCTATTTTTTACACACAGTTATCCACACAATTATTCAACGGAAACTTTAGCTCCCACTTCTTCTCCTCTTCTCCCTAGTGTTAATCCCGCGCAGTCGCAAGGTCTGTTGTTTTGTTAGGTCGCCACTTCCTCCCATCTGCGGTATCTTCGCCGGTATTTTGGTTTCGAAGAGGTCCTTCTTGATCATAACTTAAATCGAAAATAAAAACAAGATGAATGAAGGGATCATCCTCCTTCCCTTGAATATCCCTCCAGGTGGAATAGAAGGACAGGGTAGTCGCAGTGGTTGGTTGAAAGTTCGATCCCTGCCGAAGAAAACTGT